GTTATATAAATCACAGTAGAGATTTCTTGAACACCTTCCTCTGTCACAAATGGTTCAGTAGAACCCCAGTGGGTCAGCTCCAAAGATAATGCATTTCAGCCTTCTTTTCATGTTGCAGATACCCAAGTCATTCAACAGAACTCCACATTTTCTTAGCTTCCACATTGACAAGGCCTGTTATAGAAATGGCACACTAGCCAAAATAATTCAACAGAAGCTCAGTGGCTCCAAGGAACAACTCCCAACAGACAGCTCAAGGGAACACTGATCTAGGTAGACTCACTCATTCTCTTCCTTCACACGGTTAAAAGTAGAAAGTACTCAGTGCTGGCTGGCTGAGGTGGGAAGACAGATTTCTGAAATAAAGTATCCCCACATCTGTGTGGAGTCCACCTGCAGTGACAAAGTATGTCTTTACCCTGCCCTGGCTCACATTGTTCCTAGAGTTGTAGGGGCCAGAACCTGGCTCCTGTCATCCCTAACAACCTAAGCTTAGTCCACTGCCTACAATAGGCCAAATAAACAGTAGTGAGAACCAGACAAAGATTTATTTAGTGTGGTCACATTAGGAGAAGGAACAATAGAGGTTCAGTGGCCCTACCCCCAAAATCCATCCTTGGACATGTGGCTAAGGTTTAAGTGGAAGACAAGATAGATAGAAACCTATATCTCTATCTAAGCCGTCCTGGTCCAGTATCTAGACTCCAGTCTTCTGGAAGGTGTTCAGTAAGTCAGAACCGTCTTCTTGGAGACATTATCTAGACCCAAGTCTCCTGGAAGGTGTCAGTAAGTCAGAACTGTGTCTTGTCTTGGAGACATTGCTTTTCTTTGTTGGCACCAGCTTCAACTTTTTGCTTCTAGCATGAGATTCCTGGGGGGACATTCTAATTATTTCAATAATCTGTTAGTGAAAGGAATCCCATTCATTTGGAATAACTTTATTCCTGCCAGGACAGTTATAGCATCACCTTTATAGAAATGAAGGGAGCCAGGTGGTAGTGGCATGTGCCTCCTGGCATTCGGGAGGCAAAGGTAGGCAGGTCTCTGTGAGTTTGAGGCCAGCCTGGTCTAGATAGTGAGTTCCAGAACTCCAGGACAGCCAGGGATACACAGAGAAACCCTGTCTTGAAAAACCAAAAAAACAAAAAGGAAAAGGAAAGAAAAATGAAGGGCATGTGTATTCTGTCTGTTCTCCTATCTACCCTTGAGACCATCAGTCTGTTAGCTCCAGTGCCACAGGATGGTGGTTTTTGGTGTGTGTGTGTGTGTTGGTGCACTTGTGGAGGTCAGAAAACGGCCTTCATGAGTTGGTTCTCTATTTTCACCATGTGAACTTCAAGAATCAAACTCAGGCCTTTAGTGGAAAGTGCCTTTACCTGATGAGTGAATTTGCAGGCCTATGTCTTTCTTTCTTTCTTTTTTTTCTTTTGAGATTGTGTGTGTGTGTGTGTGTGTGTGTGTGTGTGTGTGTGTGTGTGTGTGTGTGTATACATATATATTTTTGGGGGGGGGTTACGAGACAGGGTTTCTCTGTATTGTTTTGGAGGCTGTCGGTCCAGCCCAGCCTTGAACTCACAGTGGGTTGCTGTACAGTTAGCACACTTGTCTCACCTGGCATTTAGTCTGGAAATATCCTGTCATTTTCTGCTTGGCTTACACTCAAGCTTGTCCTTGAAGGAAAGGTACCTGCTGGCCTGAGTTCTGTGGCAGTAATTTCCAGGCAGGTAGACAGTCAAACAGTTTTATGACTGATTGAGTACCTTTAAGTATTTGTCAAGTTTAGACTGCTTTTTAAAATGACAACTCATTCTCATGCAGATTGCACCCCTAACTTGCCTCCTCTGGTGGCTGACCTTGTGTTTCTTTTCTTTTCTCGAGAGGTTTCTCTGCGGCTTTGGAGGCTGTCCTGGAACTAGCTCTTATAGACCAGGCTGGTCTTGAACTCACAGAGATCAGCCTGCCTCTGACTCCCGAGTGCTAGGATTAAAGGCGTGCGCCACACCACCTGGCTCTGCCCTTGTGTTTCTTCAAGTTGATTTTGCTGGAGGCATCCTTCTGAGCTTTACTCTCCCTTTCTCTTCTGGCTTTCTGTAAATTGGTAGGTGGATCTAGAGGCCTGATCAAATTCACATTTGACTTCAGGCAGATTTCCTTTTCAGAGGTGTTACTTTGGTTCAAGAAGCACCACATAGGGCTGGAGAGGTGTAAGAACATTGTGTTCCCAGCACCCACAGCAGGCAGCTCACAGCCAACCAGCCACCTACAGCTGCAGCCCAAGGGATCTCATATCTGAACATACATCACACACACAAAATTGGGGGAAAAAATCTTAAAGAAGCAACTTCGAGCTAAGCATAGTGGCACACAGTTGTATTCTGAACACACAGGAGAGTTCAGAGAGGAACAGCTGCTGGCTTTCAGTACCTGAGGTAGTCAGGTTCCAAAAATAGCTACACAATTGTCCAAATAAGGAAAAGCCAAGTTATCTAGTAGCTTTGACATATATAGATGGTTCTTGCCCTTGTGTATCTGCTAGCGTTAATTTGTGTTGGGCCCAGGAGCAAGCAACAGTGGTGGCTTGTGACAATGCTGAGAGTAGAGGATAGTAAGGGGTGTTTTGGATCAAGGCAGAGCCAGCGTCTTGTATTAGGTTAGATGCATAGCAGTTGAGAAAGAAAGGGTTTCCATTAGCATATTCAGGAGAGGCTCCGCCATTGGATGGGTAGGCAGTGGTGCAAGACAGTAGTTGACAGATTCTTGGGGCATAGGTGCACCAGGGACAGATCTTGGGGTTTGGGCATACTGGAGGAACCTGAGGCACTGGAAAAGGTTTCATATTAGGACCTGTGAGTTTAGGTATCTCAGACTAAATGTATTTTTTATTAAAAAATTTTATTATTAAATTTAAATTCAAATTAGAAACAAAGTTTCTTTGCATGTCAATCTCATGTCCCTCTCCCTTTCCCTCCCTTCCTCCCACCCCCTTCCATCACCTACCCAATACCCCCTCCTTTCCCCAGGGAGGATGAGTTCTTCCATGGGGGTGTCCATAGTCTGTCATTTCATCCAGGACAGGGCCTAAAACCTCCCACAAGAGTCCAGGGTGAGAGTGCATCTCTCACTGTGGGATGGGCACCCAATGTCCATTTGTATGCTAGGAATAAATACTGGTCAACTACCAAAGGCCCCATGGGTTGCCTAGGCCTCGTCACTGACACCCCCATTCAGGGGGTGTATTTTTTTATTGTAATTAAAGTAACTGAGTTATATCTCATTAGGTTATATCTCATGGGGAGATATAACCCAATTCTCCAGGTCCTTCCTGTATCCCAGAATAATTCAGCTGGTGGAACAGAGATTCATATATATATATATATATTAGGTGTGAAAGTCACAGGCTTGCAAGATCCCTGTTTACAGTTGGGATTAATCTTTGTGGGGTTGGGGAAGTGGTAAGACCATCTTTGTTGGTCTTTTCCCAGGGCCAGTAGTTACACAGCTCCAAGAGGCACAATGATAGGTGCCATGTTCCTGGCAGAATTTAGAGTTAAGTCCAGGTGCTGGACATGCATAAATTTTGGTAACTTGTAAATTTCTCTCCAGTTTTAAAATGTCACAACCTTCCTCAAAAGTACCCAAATGAAGTTCCCATCCTTGTGCAGGTCCTTCTCCCCAAAGAGAAAAGAGTTTACAGAGGGTAAAAGACAGATGAACCCATTTACCACCGGTCTCAGTAGTATTTAGGTAAGACTTCCTCTAAAGCCCTACTCATCCTTTCTATCATTCCTGAGCTCTGAGGGTGATACATACAACGTAGTTTCCAGCTTTTATTGAAAGATTTGAGATCAGTTGAGATAGTTTGGTGTGAAAGCCAGGCCATTGTCAGATCCATGGTTAAGGGAAGGCCAAATCGTAGGATAATTTCCATTATTAATTTTTTGATGCCATCTGAGCCATTTCCAATCAACTTGGAAAGGTGTTTACCCAGCATGAGGCAGTGTCAGCAAAGACCAGGAAGTATTTATATCCATATGGTCTTTGTTTGACTTCAGTAAAGTTCAATTCCCAGAATTCCTCAGGTACTGTACCTTGACTCTGGTGTCCTTAGGGAAGCATTTACCATTACTGATTAAGCAATGGTCTGAGATGTTTTAAAGTGTCTCCTGATATCCAGACAACCAAACATGGGGGGAGATGAGTTCTGGGAAGTAAGTGTGTGTATTTATGTGTGTGTGATACATTGATTTGTGGGGAGCAGTCAGCCAGTTCCTTCCCAACAACTTTGGCATACAAATTTTCCTGTACATTTGGATCCACAATCCATGACAATTTTGATGGGCTCCCATGCTGGAGTATAATTTAGATTCCTCTGGAGAGTATGTGGGAATATTTTCATCAAGGTGGAGTGGGGGCTCGGGTGGCTGATAGTTCCAAGATGATTTGGGATCAAGGTTCCCAGTAGCTGCCTCCCTGACTGCTTGATCTACAAAATTGTTCCCCTGAGTTTGGGATCCATTGTCCTTTTGATGTGCTGGCCAGTGTATAATAGCCAGTTTAGCTGGCCTCCAACAATTAGATGATTTCCTGTTTGTTTTTAATGTTTTTTCCTTCTGAGGTTAGTAGACCTCTTTGTATATTTGTCCATGAACATGAGTGTGGCAAAAGCGTATCAGCAATCTGTGTTAATGTTCACTATCTTTCCCTTGGCCTGAGTTAGGGATATTATTTCTGCTCTTTGGACTGATGTCCCTCTGGATAGAGTAGGGCTTATGCCTGTATTATTTCTAGCTTGTAATTAATACTACCCCTGCATACCTTATTCCTTTATGGATGAAGCTGCTACTGTCCGTCGGTGGAGAGGTTAGTGTCTCTAAACAAGAGGGGAACATCTGTCAGGTCTGGTCAGATACCTCAGATGACATCCAGAATCTCCAGGCATTAAGACCTTTATGTGGGATTTTGACAGTTTTTTTCCCTTCTGTTTATTTATATCCAAATAGGTGTCCTGGAGTGTACAAATCTGAGCTTTCTTTTTGGAGACCTAGTACCTAACTGAGCCAGAGTTTCTTTTCTAAGGGACCCCCAAGTGGCTCTTCAACAGTACTCTGTCTTTGACTGCTAACAGTAAGTCATTCACATATTAAAATTGATAGCTTCTGGGTACTTACTTGGAAAATGACTTAAGTCCTGGTTGAGGGCTTCATCAAAGATGTTAAGGGGAATTCTTGAACCCCTAAAGTAATCAAGTTCAGGTTAGTTGCCTCAGTATTAACCAACTCAAGATTGGCCTAGTCAATTGCAAAGATGGGCTGGCTTAATTTTGATAAAGGGATGGGAAAGAATGCATTCTTCAAATCTAGTACAATATGAACCTTATGTTCAGGTGGCAACATTCTGAGTAGTGTATAAGTATTGAGGACAATTGAGTGAATAGTCTCAAGCTGCTCGTTCACTTCTGTTAAGTCCTGTACTGGTTTATAGTCTTAGGTTTCATGCCTTTGAACTGGTAATAAGGGAATGTTCCAGGCTGATTGGCATGGAGTGAGTATGCCTGCTTCTGGCTTCTGGACTTTTGGGGTACTGTTTGACTCAGATGGTCATAGCCCCAGAGATCAGTTGTACTATAACTGGCAGTACATGTTTGGCCAAACCAGGAGAGTTGTCTTCAACCCAAATGATTGGAGCATTCTCAATAAGTTGCTTTTTAAATTCCCTTTCAGGGCCCTGTGTTGGCCCCTGGAGAAGATCTTCAAACTCAAGGGACAGGTGAAGATAAAGGCTTTGGCTAGGCTCCCTATTTGCAGCATACGTTGTACCTCCTGAGGCTAAAATAGAGTTTATTTAGAAATTCTCTTCCCAGCAAAGGAAACAGGTATTAGAGGATAATAATGAAAGAATGGGTTACTACTCCCTTTCCCAGATTAGTGGTCCAGTCTGTGGACCATTGCTCCCATTACCTTCATTGTTAGATTAGTAAGGGGCCAGAATGTGAAGCTTCCATGTCAACTAGTAAGTTTACAGGTTGGCCCCCAATTGAAAAGGTTTCCATAGGCTCCTGGGAGCTCAGTTTGAGAGATCCATGGCCCTGCTATTCCTCCAAGGCCAAAACTGGTCTTGGCCAAGGAGGGCCTACCTGTTTCTGTGAGGGCATTCATTTTCCAGTAACACAGTCCTTTGTAGTAAGCACAGTGGTCTCTTTTTTTTTTCTCTTAAGATTTATTTATTATGCATATAGTGTTCTATCTGCATGTATGGCCACAAGCCAGAAGAGGGCACCAATCTCATTATAGATGGTTGTGAGCCACCATGTGGTTGCTGGGAATTGAACTCAGATCCTCTGGGAGAGCAGTCAATGCTCTTAACCTCTGAGCCATCTCTCCAGCCCCCCCACAGTGGTCTCTTTGCATGGACATCCTCTTTTTGTTATATGTTGGTTACCCAGGATCGAGGGGGGAAGGGGCAGGGCATGTAGCATGGCCATCATAGCCAGATTTACTTTTCTTGTCAACTGCTCTTCTTTGCTATCTTCATTGTCAAACACTTTTTGAACTATTTCTGATAACTATGACCTGTTCTTCCCTGCAAACCCATCCAGTCTCTGGTTTTATTTTACATGTCTGGGGCAGACTAGGCTACAAAGGCTAGAATAATTATCTTGAGATTTGCTGAGTCCTCCAGGTCTATGGGAGTATGTAGGTGGTAAGCTTCCAGGAGGCATTTAAAAAATGCCAAAGGTAATTTATTTGGGCCTTTTCTTACATCTGTCCCCTTGGGTTTTTGGGTCACCCCACTTCAGTCCCTCTAATAAAGTCTGGTGGTACTCAGTGACCTCCTACCATCACCCCCTGTTCTATAGTTCAGTCAGGTCTCCATCTGGGCAGGACAGAGTCAACTGCATCTGCACTCTGTTCATTGGTCAATGCATCCATTTCAGGGAGTGCCTTAGCTGCCTCAGTCCAAATCCATTCCCTCTCTTCCATAGTAAAGGGGGTACATAGAATCTGTTGGCATCATCCCTGGTAGGAAGGTGATTAAAGAGGACAGAGTCAGTTAGAGAGATTAAGGAGCCTGAGTCTGTGCTAAGAGGGGGAATTCGAGATCTTTCAGTTGCAAAGACCAGCTGCAGAAAAAGAAACAGACATATCAGTTATCAGGGGAACCTGGTGCAGGATCTCAGGAAGACCATAAGGGAGTCCTTGGTAGGTGTGGGTGGGGTGAGCTGACTGGTAAAGTAGGGACAGAGTGGGTAGTGGAATGAGATAGCTTAGGTAAAGGGTTGGAGTTGAGGTGGAGACTGAGGAATGGGAGATAGTGGGGCATAAAGGTAGTTATATGGGGGAAGGAATGGGTCCTCCTGAGAGCCTTGTAAAATGATGAGCTTCTGAGCCTCCCTTGAAGAGCCCCCCTTGTAATGACTAAGGCCTGGCTACCTTGTCCATTGTGGACCATACAGATCTTTTATGGGGGTGAATTTGATGTTGCTTCTGCCCAGGGCAAGATGTATATGATGTGGTCAGAGTGGCTGGAGTTGCCAAATGCAATATTTGCTATTGCCCATGCCACTTGAGGGTTGAATGTACCCTCTGGGAATCATCTGACCCCAAAAGTAGGCCAATGCAGTGTACAAGAGTGCAGGGATGGCCTTTGGTGATGGGATAATCTGTGACTGTAAAAGGAAAAAGTTTTCCATAAATTTTCAACACACAGCTTATTGGAGTATCCAGGTTACTAGTGTTATTGCCCATTCTGTCCATCCTTCCAGTCACCTCAAGTCCAGACCATGGGAGACACACAACAAAGAGAGGAGACAGACAGGACAAGAATCAAGCAGGCAGTATGATGTCTTGCTATTGTCTTGGAGAGGAGCTCTTGTACCTCCCTAGACACCTCACTATCCCAGATAGGATCCCAATAGAACCAGAACCATCTGTCATACATTCATACATCTGTCATAGAAACAGAACCGTGACTAACCCTTACCCAGCTGTGACTTACAGATGGAGGCTTCTGCAGACAGGTGCTTTCTGTTTTCTTTTTCTTTCTTTCTTTTTTTTCAGTAGCCATTCACTCCAGCAGTCCACCAGTCTGAAAGTGTGCCCTGGGGCCATGGAATGTCTCAAGGTTTGCACCCCCTGGGAAGCCCTGATCCAATCCCCAGAGGCCTGGAGAGGAAGGGTCTGGCTTCTGAATTTGGGTTGGGATCTTTAATATCGTTGGGGGCCTCCAAATGTTAATCCTACAGCCACCAGGAGAATGGCCACCAACCACAAATTATACCCAAATCAAAGCAAGTTTTATTCTGTGTACAGCAGAGCTGTTCCTGCAGCTGTCTCCCCCTAAGACACGCATTCAAGAGATCAGCCCGGAGCCAATTTCTCATGCCTTTTTTATAGGGCAAAGCTTCAGGGTGAGGAATTTTAAGTTTTCCTTTATAGAACATTCTGTGGCCATGGGAGCAGGGGGACACAGCAATTCCAAGGAACATTCATTTATTTATTTATTTATTCAGTGTTTTGCATAATCTGTTTATTTGTTTGTTTTTCAAGACAGGGTTTCTCTGTCTAGCTTTGGAGCCTGTCCTGGCACCCACTCTGTAGACCAGGCTGGCCTCGAACTCACAGAGATCCACCTGCCTCTGCCTCCCGAGTACTGGAATTAAAGGTGTGAGCCACTACCACCCAGCACCTTGTAACTTTCTTAAAGTTCATTAGTTACTTTCAGTTTATAGATTTTTTTTTAGATTTATGTATTTATTACATATACAGTGTTCCATCTGCATGTATGCCTACAGGCCAGAAAAGGGCACCAGATCTCATTGTGGATGGTTGTGAGCCACCATGTGGTTGCTGGGTGTTAAGAGAAGCTTTTTCCTTGAGAAGGAGCCGTTCCGCCAGCCTGGTTCCAGAGCCGCTTCAGTCCCAAATAAACACACAGGAGGCTGTATTAATTATGAAGCTGTTGGCCTTGCTTGTTTCTTACTAGGTAGCTCTGACTTAAGTAATTACCCCATAATTGTTAATCTAAGTATGTTTCTTCCCGGAGAATAGTTCCAGGCTTCCTACCCCCATGGCGTTACATGTTGACTCTCTGTGTTTCTCCTTCCCAGAATCCTCCTGGACTCCTAGCCCCACCTATCTAGATTCCTATAGGCTCAACAGTACTTTATTGACAAATAACAGGCAAATAACAGGACTTCCCCAACAGCTGGGAATTGAACTCAGGACCTCTGGAAGAGCATCTAGTGCTCTTAACGACTGAGCCATCTCTCCAGCCCTTTTATAGATTTCCTATTACTTATGTGATTGGAAAAAGGAATAGTTTCTACTTCAGGTCTGTTTGCCTTGCATGTGTTATGTGCATGGTGTGTGTGCTATCTCTCCTTATCATTATCATAGCATATCACCCATCCCCCAAGACAGGGTTCCTCTGTTTAGTGATGGCTGTCCTTGAACTCACTCTGTAGACCAGACTGGCCTTGAACTCACAGAGATCTTCCTGCCTCTGCTTCCCAAGTGCTAGGATTAAAGGCATATGCTATCACCACAACCCATGTGTGTTATTTCTTTAATGTTTTAACTTACTGAGGTTTTTACTCATATATACAGTGTATTTTGATCCTATTTACACTCTGTTCCCCTGCTCCAGCTCATCTTTATAGTCCAAGCAAATCTCTCTCCAAAATTCATGTTTTCTTTCTTTCTTTCTTTCTTTCTTTCTTTCTTTCTTTCTTTCTTTCTTTCTTTCCTTCTTTCTCTTTTTTAAAGACAGAATCTCACTCTGGAACCCTGTCTGTCCTGGAATTCTAGAAATATCTATGTAGACCAGGGTGTCCTTGAATTCACAGAGATCTGCCTACCTCTGCCTCCTGAGTTCTGGGATTTAATACATGAGCCACTATGCCTGGTCCAAATTCATGTCTTTTGAGGCAAAGCCTCATTCTGCAGGCCTGGCTGGTATGGATCTCATCAGGCTGACCTTGAACTCTCAGAGCTCTACCTGCAAAAGGCACAGTTAAGCTCTTAAACCTTTGCATCCCACACTCTGGAGTTAAAGGCAGGCATCACTTCGCCTAGCTTTTATTTGTTTGTTTCAAGACATAATTTTTCTGTGTATCCCTGGCTGTGTAGACAATGTTGGCCTCAAACTCAGAGAGATCCCCCTGCCTTTGCCTACCAAGTGCTGGGATCAAAGACATATGTCACCAAGACTTTTTTTATTTTGGCCTAATATAATTCTTTTATTTCTCTTATAAATCCTTTTCTTGCTTTTCTGGCCCCCATCATTGGGACTCTGACTGCAAGTAATGGGAATTCCCATTCCTGATCTTAGGAGTATTGAGGGTTTGTCTGAACATGGGAGATACTGGAACTATTTTTAGATTTCCTTTTAGCAGATCATGGGAGCTCTTTTTCAATTACTGGCACATTTCAACATGAATGGGTGCTGAATTATGTAAACTGCCTTTTTTGCATCTAAAAATCATCATTGTTCTCTCACTGGGGTGAAATATGTTCATTTCTGTGAAATTCCAGCCTGATGTGACCACGAGGGGCCTCCCTAAGTGGAAACTGTCACAGTTGCCTGACTGATACTGGTGCTTTTCCCTAATTGCACACAGTAACCACAACTATCAGGATGTTACATGCAGCTTCGTAAGTGGGTGTTGGTGACCTGAACCCCAGACTGGACCTGAAGTCAATGATACTAGCTTGAGATAAGCAACTTTGGATGATGTCACTTATGTCCTATTTGGAAGCCTTTTCTGACTGGATCTGTGAGGATATTTGGTCTTCCTGCTATACTGACCATACTTCTGTCAACTGATAGAATACTGAGTCTTGTCTAAACATATGTTTTCGTTTCTCTTGGGTAGTATGGGAGTTGGGATCAGAATGGCCCTCATAGACTCATATTGGTCTTGAATGTTTGGTCAGCAGTTAGTGGAACTGTTTGGGAAGGATTAGAAGGTGTGCAGGGGCGTGCACACACAAACAAGTATCCAGTTATGTGCACATGTACAAGAGGAGGCCAGAAGTCAACCCTATTATGTGTCCTTTCTTGTTTTTGTTTGAAATGGAATCTCATTGAGCTTGGAACTTACTGAGTTGACTAGGTTGTCTGGCCAACTTCTGCCCCCTCTAGCAGGTGAATTACAGGCACACACCATCATGCTCAGCTTTTTTTTTTTTTTTAAGATTTATTTATTTATTATACATACAGTGTTCTGTCTGCATGCATGCCTGCAGGCCAGAAGAGGACACCAAATCTCATTACAGATGGTTGTGAGCCACCATGTGGTTGCTAGGAATTGAACTCAGGACCCCTGGAAGAGCAGTCAGTGCTCTTAACCTTTGAGCCATCTCTCCAGCCCCATGCTCAGCTTTTTATTATTGTTACATGCATGCATACATACATGCATAAGTTTATAAACACAACCTGCTGAGTTCATTTAGTGTTGCTCATTTGTATATGGGTTTAGAGCTGGCCACTTGGGATTGGACCATCTAGTTGGGATTTGTCCCTGGAGCAGGTTAATTCTCCCTCTTTGAACAGTCAGGGGCGAGGTCTTGTGAGTTTTTCTCTACCCACATGATATGTCAACTGGTGTTGTTATTGTTCAAGTCTCCCTTATGCAACCATATTGAGATTTTGTGGGTACAGCTTCCCTGTTATATAAGAAGACACTGTCTCACAGCAAAAGCCCTGAGTCTGTGGCTCATATTTCCTACTCCTGTACTGGTAGGACATTCGAATTTTAATTTGTATCTTTTTGCTAATTTTGCAGGGTTGGGTTTTTTTTTTTTTTTTACTATGTGAATGGATTGCAAAATGTCACTAGGAAGGTTTTTGACTTTAACTTTCTATCATGGAAATTTTCCTGTATACAATTTGGCAATATAGATTTTTAAATATTCAGTTCAGTTCTGTGCTTAATTTAATGTCTTCTATTACAGGATTTGCAAAAGGAGTGTGTGTGTGCCTGCAAGATGATGGGGCTCCTGTCTTGGAGAAGAGAAAGAAGTCTGTGCTGCATGTATTGGTGCATACACCAAGAAGTACTTGTTCATAGCACTCCTGGAGAACAGCACTCATGCCTTGTGACAGTGTGCTTTTGTGAGCTACATACTCGGCTTTCCAGTGACGTTCACGGTTAGCCATATTAAACATCCTAGAGATGGGACTGTGAAAAAGTGAATAAACTCTACTTTGGGGGTCACTATAACCAGTGGGCATTATAACCAGTTTATTTACCTAAAATGTCAGAATGATGAAGCAGCCAGGATAATTATGGTTGGTCATGGAGGATAAGCAGGAAACTTGTCCCAAGGGGGACAGTGATTTTGTTTCTGACAAAGTAAATTTCAAAGTAGAAGAGGAAGATGATGACCAAATTCCTTGTCACAGTTTGGAAAGAGTGGACTTTAAAAGTGAGCCAGAGGATATGAGACAGACAGACAGTGGTGATGAGCAGGCAGACCTCAGGGCAGCAAGCTGTGCCTGTCAGCCTCCTGGGAAATTCTTACCCGCTGAGAGTGAGGATGACTATGGCACACTCTTCTCCCAGTATAGCAGCACACTGTACAACGTAGCCATGGAAGCCGTGACCCAGAGCCTTCTTTCTGGCCGACACATAAACTCCAGGAAGAAGTCTCCAGCTTGGAAGCATTTCTTTATCTCTCCTCGAGATAGCACTAAAGCAATATGCACATACTGTATGAAAGAGTTCAGTAGGGGCAAAAATGAAAAAGACTTGAGTACCAGTTGCCTCATGAGACATGTGAGGCGGGCACATCCCACCAAGCTCATTCAAGAAAACGGAAGTCTGTCAGTAGGGTCCTCCTTTCCCTCTCCCTCTCTTCTGCTTCCACCACAGCCTGCAGATGTGGGAGATCTCAGCACTGTGCTCTCACCTGTCAGACTTGTCCAGAAAATGGCTCCCAAGATCCCATCCCCTGACCAAATAATGGAAGAGTCTGTGACTGTGGTCTCTTCTGAAGAGGTGTCCTCTGATGTGTCTCTCACTGAAAAGTATAGCAGAGAAGAGGCCTTGGCAGGCTCATCCCCCAACTTCTCCATGCTCCACTATGATGACACTTCAGAAAGCATGGCAGAGAGAAACCTGTGCCTTCCCAAAAGCACATCTGGCTCCAGGAGGAGGTCTGCCGTCTGGAAGCACTTCTACCTGTCACCCCTTGATAGCTCCAAGGCTGTGTGTGTCCACTGTATGAATGAGTTCAGCAGGGGCAAGAACGGGAAGGACCTGGGCACAAGCTGCCTCATCAGGCACATGTGGAGAGCACACCGGTCCATTGTACTACAGGAGAATGGGGGCAGCACAGGCATCCCACCATTGTACCCTATGCCCCCAACCCTGCTGCCTGCCCTGCTGCCCCCAGAGGGAGATCTCAACTCTGCATCGTTGTCTCCAGGCAAACAAGTCAAAGAGTGCCCTTCTGCCTCCTCATCCCCAGACAGGCTGCCTGAGGACCTGTCATCACGCACAAATCCTGGTGATGTGTCCCGGGAAGATGTGTCTATGTTGTCATCCTCTGATGACTTGGGGGAAGCCTCTGTAGTGTCCTCTCCAGAGAAGCAGCCAGCAGATACAGCAAGTCCAAGGTTTGAGTCAGGTACTGTCTTCCAGCAAAATAAGAAGGTCATGAGAAGGCTGAAGTCAGAAGTCTGGCATCACTTTTCCCTGGCTCCCATGGACAGTCTCAAAGCAGTGTGCCGGTACTGTAGCTGTGTTATTAGTCGGGGGAAAAAGGGGGATGTGGGCACCAGTTGTTTGATGCGGCATCTGTATAGACGCCACCCTGAGGTTGTTGGGAACCAGAAGGACTTTCTGGGTGCAAGTTTGGCAAACTCTCCATATGCCACTTTAGCTTCTGCAGAAAGCTCCTCCAAATTAACTGACTTGCCAGCAGTAGTCAGAAAAAACCATCAAGGTGTGTTTCCTGGTAATAGCAAGAAGACCTCAAAGCTGTGGAACCACTTTTCTATTTGCTCTGCAGACTCAACAAAGGTGGTGTGCCTGCACTGTGGCCGGACCATCAGTAGGGGCAAGAAGCCCACCAACCTGGGTACCAGCTGTCTCTTGAGACATCTGCAGCGGTTCCATGGCCATGTACTCAAGAACGACGTCTCAGAGGCCACTGTGCCCCGATCTTCAGGCATCCGGAGGCCTCTGGGCATGGAGCTTTCAGGGGCTTCCTCTTTCCGTGACTCAACTGAGAAATTCTATGACTCTCACCCAGTTGCCAAAAAAATCACAAGTCTCATAGCTGAAATGATTGCACTTGACCTTCAGCCATACTCCCTTGTAGACAACATTGGCTTTAACAGGCTGCTCGAATACTTGAAACCTCAATACTCTTTACCCTCCCCTTCCTACTTCTCTAGAACAGCTATCCCAGGTATGTATGACAATGTGAAGCAGATAATTATGTCACATCTGAAGGAAGCTGAGAGTGGTGTGGTCCACTTCACCTCCGGAATATGGATGAGTAGCCAGACTCGTGAGTACCTGACCCTTACAGCTCACTGGGTCACCTTCGCATCTGCTGTCCGACCACATTGTGAGGACCACCATTGCTCAGCACTTTTAGATGTGTCACAGATCGACTGTGACTATAGTGGAAACAGCATTCAGAAGCAGCTGGAGTGTTGGTGGGAAGCTTGGGTGACCTCCATCGGCCTTCAGATTGGCATCACTGTCACTGACAATCCAAGCATAGGGAAGATGCTGAGTGAGGGTGAACACTCAAGTGTGCAATGCTTCAGCCACACAGTGAATCTGATTGTGAGTGAGGCTATCAAGAGCCAGAGGATGGTGCAGAACTTACTGAGCATTGCCCGGAAGCTGTGTGAGCGGGTCCATCGGTCGCCCCGGGCAAGAGAGAAGCTAGCAGAACTGCAGAAGGAGTATGAGCTGCCGCAGCATCAGTTGATCCAGGATGTGCCATCCAAGTGGAGCACATCATTCCACATGCTTGAACGGCTAATTGAGCAGAAGAGGGCAGTTAACGAGGTGTCTATTGAGTGTAACTTCAGAGAATTGATAAGCTGTGATCAGTGGGAGGTCATGCAGTCTGTGTGCCATGTACTGCGACCATTTGATGCTGCAAGCCGAGAGATGAGCGCCCACATGTCTACTCTGAGCCAGGTCATCCCCATGATACACATCCTCAGCAGGAAAGTGGAGATGCTCTTTGGGGAGACGATGGGCATTGACACCATGCTTAAGTCCCTGAAGGAAGCCATGGCGAGCCGCCTGTCTGCCACCCTCCACGACCCCAGGTACATCTTTGCCACACTGCTGGACCCTCGCTACAAAGCTTCCCTGTTCACAGAGGAAGAGGCGGAGCAGTACAGACAAGACTTAATCAGGGAGCTAGAAATATTGAATTCTACCTCAGAGGACACGGCCACCTCCAATGGCTGTGACTCAGGGTCCCCACTTAAAGACACTGGCGCAGGGGAGAGCCTGTGGTCACTGGTTGCACCAATAAAGAGAGAGAAGCTACCCGAAGCCATGGTGCTTGCATATTTGGAGGAAGAGGTGCTGGAACACAGCTGTGACCCACTTACCTACTGGAACCTGAAGCGATCATCCTGGCCTGGACTGTCTACCTTAGCAGTCCGATTTCTGGGCTGCCCCCCAAGTACAGTTCCCTCAGAAAAGCTCTTCAGTACACCCATGGAGGCTGGCAGCTTTGGGCAGCCCAGGCTTGCAATGGAGCATTTTGAAAAGCTCATCTTTTTAAAAGTGAATCTCCCCTTGATATGTTTTCAGTATTGAACTCATGATGGAGCCACCAGGCTGGAAATGCGATTCAGAGTGCTAGTTGTGGTGCCAGGGCTTTTGCCTGGCAGGGCCATGTAGGACACCAGACCAGGTATCTGGGGCCACCTGCCAGCTCTCACCGTAATATCCACATGTGCCTTACCCCTCCTTCAGGCCAGGTGTCGAGGTGCGTTTTCAGAACCCCACTAGAAACAGTCTTGGCAATTATGAAATAGGATGATCAGGTTTAATTCATAACTATAAAGGTTTTTTTGACTGTTTTTTAGGGCATAGTAATTTGTTTTACTAGAGTGGAGGGAAGATGTAAACAATTTTATTATGTAGGGTTTTTATTCAGTTGTATAAAAACCACAAATCAGGTGCTGTATTTTAATTAAATATTATTTTAATTGCAACAAAACAGCTTTTGTGGCTGTCAGATGAAACCTGTAAATAGGAGGTGAAGGTTAAGCCATCCTGACTGAACAGTTCTTAACCACAGGCTCCAAAGTATGTCAAGGAGAGAATATTCTGGAAACTGTTTACTGTAACAGAAACCAGGCATTTGAAAACAATACTGAATTTAGGCATATCATGGAGTATCAGTTACGTGGTTATTTGGTCACGAGAACTTTCCCATGTCAGGTGTTTGCATTCAGGTTTTACACGGTCATTTAACTCAGAGATAACCCATTTATCATGAATTCCTTGAAATTGGATCCAAGTTTTAAAATCATGCTTAGGATTTCACCAGTGCATGATATGACACGTTTACAGCAGATGGCCTGTTGATCAAATCTCCATGCCTCTGATTTATTTTGCGTCTCTATACAATAAAGCTATCTCATAAGAAGTGTGCACTGACCCCCCCTCCCGTTTGATCAGACTATAGCTCAGATTCTGCTTTGAGGAGATAGCTTGTTAACAGGGAAAGCGCTTGTTTATTGCAGTCGTCAGAAAAGCCTTAGGCATTTAGATTTTGTTCCTATGATAGGAAGATTCAGCTATCACTGGGGTGTTATTATAGAATCCCCAGGATATCAAAATGAAGTATCAACTGTCAGATTCTTTTACCAGACTCCAGAGTTTTTGCTTTAATCTAAAGAAACAAATTCATTTTCTCATTTCAAATTAGTTAAATATTATGGGTGAGACAAATCACTCATTTGCCTCTGACCTTTTGGAAAAAGCTGTTCTTTTGTTGAAATACTGTACGTAGGCTCAGTCTAAATTTGTGTGGACTATGCTTTAGTGTATTTATAAATGATGAACTTGGATTCTGAAATTAAACTTTTTATTTGCGATTTTTCTACTGCTGATTGCTGGCTTTTTATTTTTAGGAAAAAAACAGGCATGCTTTTATGGGTTAACATATATAAACTGCATTTGAACAGTGTTTGAAATGTCATGATAGTCACTGGGGAGTAGGGGCAGTATTCCTAACATTATTATTTTGATTAAGGTAATGATGGTTAGAACTCGGCTAGCACCTCTCCACATCCCCTCTTACCTAATGTCTGTGCGTTTACCTCCTGGACTCCAGCCTGTTTCCAGAGGGTCACAGAGCTCTTGACCTGGAACATGAGTTCTGTAGTCTGCCCACTGCACTGTCCCTGGCCAGCACTCCTGGTGTAGGAAGGGCTAGTTGCAGGTAAGAACAAGGAGACAGTAGATCTTGCTGAACACTGTCCATAGCAGTTGCCGTTCTGGTTTTTTGTTTTGTTTTGTTTTGTTTTTACTTTCCTTTGCTTTTATTTTTTCTTTTTGAGGCAGGATCTCATATAGCCCAGGCTGGCCTCCAATTCACTATGTAGTCAAGGATGAGAATGGGTTTAAAGTTCTGATTCTTCTGCCTCTACCTCCTAGGTACTGAGGTGACAAGTGTATGTTACCATGCTTGGATTCATGCAGTGTTAAGAATAGAGCCAAGAGTTTGGTACATGTTTGGCAACTGAACTGTATCCCCAGCCCCTCATCCTGTTTTGCTTAGAATTATATATTTGAATAATAATATCTTTAGATTTGGGGGATACTTTATAGATTCTTCTTTCCCCCATCCAAAAGAAATCAGCCCTTCTAGATGTAGTGGTACATGCTGGTCCCAGCACGTGGGAGATGGAGGCAGGATTATCTCAGCATGAGGCCAGTCTGGGCTGTCGAGTTAGACCCTATTCAAATCAAAACAAAACCAGACTAAGTCTGCCCAAGGAACTTTTAGGATTACATTTAGTTTCCTCAGTCAACAGTGACTAAGAGCCCTTCTCTCTCCAGGACCTGGGCAGATTCTGTAATAGCACTGACTGACCTGGATGTGTCCAGATCTGGCACAGCCTGTAAGCTTGACCAAGGATGCCAGACTACAGCCACTTCTGGTGGTCTGTGTGCTTTTGTATGTGAAACTTTCTTGGATGACAGGCACATTTTTTGTTTGCTTGTTTGCATATTGTGTAAGAGCTTCTGTCATTGTGCAGTGGTAGAATGGAATACTGATGGCACATTTGTTGGAGATGCTCACACGGTCCCTTTGGAGCTGTACTGGTCTCTCATTCTGTTCCTGTTTTAACATTTTTGTCATCATACTGCCATTTTCTAGTTTGATTCTTACATCACAGGATATAAAAAGAGATTTCGGAAAAAAATGTTTGCTTGCCTCAGCAGAAATACGGCTTCCTAAGTGGCCCGGAAGCACCTTTATCCTGAATAGCCACTGATGTGTTTTGAAACCTGGCACCGTAGTACTAAGAACATAGCTGAGCTATCCCTATCCTCTTTTGCTGATAGCCCCGCAAGAGAACAGACAAAAGCCTTGATACTGGTAACCAGTTCATGGTCTGGCACTTAAATTGACAGGTATTCAGGTGGTAGATTGTAGGTATCACTAGAATGTATGTATGTTCTCAACCATCCTCCTTTGACTTACCTTCAGAGTTGTCTGTTTTCCTGCCTCCTGATGACATTTGGGGCAGGTTGTTCTTGGATTCTTCCTGCCAGCTGGAGTTAAGTGTTTTAGGGTTACTGTTGCTGTGATAAAACACAATTACCAAAGCAAACTGGGCAGGAAAGCATTTATTAGCTTACACTTGTACATTGAAGGAAGCCAGGTCAGGAACTCAAACAGGATAGGAACCTGGAGGCAAGAGCTGATGCAGAGGCTATAGGGGTGGGGGTCCTGCTTACTGGCTTTCTCCTATGGCATGTTCAGCGTGTTTTCTTACACAACCTAGGACCACCAGCCCAGGGATGGCACCACCCACAATTGGCTGGGCCCTCCCCCATTAATCACTAATTAAGGAAATGCCTTACAACCTGATTTTTGTTTTTATTTTGTTAATTTTGAGACAGGGCCTTTGTGTAGCCCTGGCTGTCCTGGAACTCACTCTGTAGACCAGGCTGGACTTAAACTTACAGAGCTCCGCCTGGCTCTGTTTCCTCAATGTTGGGATTAAAGGTGAGCACCTCCGTCACCACCACCACCACCATCTCCACCCAGCTTTTATAGCCTGATCTTCTAGACATTTTCTCAATTGAGTTTCCCTCCTTTCAGATAACTATAGCTTGTGGGAAGTTGACATAAAACTAGTAAGTAATAAGCCTTTTGTAAGAGCCTCAAAAAAAAAAAAGCCTCAACAAAACTCTAATTTTGGTCAACATGTCTACCAATTCTCTAGCAACATTGGACTTCATTTGAAGCTGAAATTCTTTTCCCTTTCATTTCTGATCTCAAGACAGCAGGCATCAGACCAGCTCTCATCACAAAACTGTCAGTTACATATTAAAACTATCTTTTGGGGCTGGTGAAATGGTTTAGTGGAAAGTAAAGAAAGGTACTTGCCACTAAACCAGACAACCTGAGTTTATTCTGAGAACCCACATGGAAGATGGAGAGAATTCCCAAAGCTGTCCTCAGTTCTCGGATCACTGCATAGATGCCATGCCCACACACTCAGAGCTGGGCATGTCTATACACCTGCAATAACAGCAAGCCTTTCTGAAGACATCAAAGCAGACACCGCTGCTGGAATGTGAAGAAATAAGGAAGGAAACCAAATCCTGTAATTTTTAACTTTTCTTCCTGTTGGAACATTTAGTGGTGGCCTGGATGTGAGACCAAACAGAAGATGCCAGAACTGGCAGCAGGGCCCTGAGCAGTGGAATCACCTGAAATCCCAGAGACAGGTCTTGGAGAAGCGAGTACCTTAGTGTGGCCCACATGTTCTATGTATACCTTCCCCTGAGGAGACAGGTGCTGCTTCTGCTTAGACCTCTCCTATGAAGGACCAGCAAGCCAGAATCCAAATCAGAGATCCAGAAAAGCTGAAGAGACAGCCTCATGTAGGGAGATAAATCTGTACCTAAGTGCCTGCCACAGAGAAGCCCCAGGGGCTCCAGGAGAGCCCCTCAGGGCAGTGAAGGTGAGCAGACTGTGTAAGCCTGAGTGCTTTGAGTCACCCCAGCCATAGCTGCACCAGGATGACTTGTCCAACCCTCCTTTCAATGGAAAAAGACAGCTTCTACAACTTTACACCTATATAGCTGGGTTCTATAAAAAATACTACTGAAGCAGGGCGTTGGTGGCACACGCCTTTAATCCCAGCACTCGGGAGGCAGAGGCAGGCGGATCTCTGTGAGTTCGAGACCAACCTGGACTACCAAGCGAGTTCCAGGACAGCCTCCAAAGCCACAGAGAAACCCTGTCTCAAAAAACCAAAAAAAAAAAAAAAAAAAAAAACTACTGAAATAAAAATAACCAAATGCTAAAAAGGAGTAATAATAGGACAGAAACAGATACTTGTTCCAAACACTAGAGTTTTCCAATGTGGGTCTCAGTCAGTTTAGTAATGCAGATACACTAAGCTGGACGGTGGTAGGCAGAAACAGGTAGATCTACAGAGTGAGTTCTAGGACAGCCAGGGCTACACAAACCCCAAAACAAGACAAAAGATGGGCTATGTCCTGACCTGTCATAGGAAGGGAGATGTGAGTTGAAGGTGTATTTAGTACTTAGCCTACTGGACATAAGAGCAGCTGGGCCTCCAGAATTGCCCTCTTGCTGCATGTGGGTTGCTGCAGAGAGGACTGAAAACTTTGGATACAGGTCAGGTGGGTGACTCGATTTCCACAGCTTGCCATCTATCCCCTTTTACTGTATAGTGCTTCTGGGCTCTCTGCAGCCACCATGGCTAGCAGAGTACCTCTCCGTGGAAGGCAAGAAGGTAGCTGGGTTCAACATGACTGAGTAGCTGATACTGGTTCAAACTTTGGGAGTCTGATCCCAAGTAGTTAGTTTTATTTAGGTGTATTTGGTGAAAATGTTCCTGGTGATAATCAACACAATCCCATGTGCACAACAAAGCTTAAGACATGACTATATTGAAAGTCTCTGTAAAGTGCATTTTACATCTTCCATAAAGATGGTTCTATAGGTTAACTACATGTGACACATTCCATACAGAAAGGTTCTATAAACTGACAAATTAACAAGGATTGGGGGGGGGGCGGGGATCCAGTGTGGTCTTGGCCACATAGATCACAAAGGTCACCAGGCTATTAGCTACATCCATTCCCAGCCTTCTGGGTGGGTAACAGGTTTTGCATCTCTTCTGCTGCTCATCTGTAACAAGCACAAGGACCTCCATGCTTCCAACATAGTACTGTTTGGCCTTCTCACTCTTAACATAAGGGAGATCATCCCTCAACTTGAACATTGGTCATCTCTCCAGCAAAAACAGGAGAGTCAAATGAGATCCTGTCCAACCCACAGGTGAATGTGGCCACCACTGGTTCCTGGTACACAAAGGAAAACTTGTAATCAAAACACAAACTTGAACAACTGGTCTAACCCATGGCCAGCACCAGGTTGAATGACACTTGGTAACAACCTGCTTCACCCTGCAGATTCCCATATTAGAGAACCCAGAAAAAAAGCCTTTTCCATTCATGTCAGCTTTTTAATGTTTATTTTTATTCTATTGTAATAGTTTTATTTTTGTGTTTAAAAGGCCTTCATCTAATTATGCATTTTCCTTTATTGGATGGATAATCAGTTTTTTGTTTTTTTCAAAACAGGGTTTCTTTGTATTGCTTTGGAGGCTGTCCTGGATCTCACTTTGTAGACCAGGCTGGCCTCGAACTCACAGAGATCTGCCCTGCCTCTGCCTCCCAAGTGCTGGGATTAAAGGTGTGCACCATCAATGCCCAGAGACATTTTCATTTCTTTGGTTATTGTTGTCTTTGCCTTTGGTTGATTTTGGCTGGACTCCTCTATCTGTTTTGGTTTGATAGTGTTGCTCTTGTGGTGATTATTTTTCTCTC